CACATGTAGATGTGCCCAGTGAGCTACAAACTCTGGGGCAGTTGAAACAGCCAATTCAGAAAGAACCAAATCAAGTAGCAGTGAATTAAGAGGAAATTATTTTTGCTTGGTAATGAATGGGCATGATCTTAGATTTAGCTGGTGTCTGACTGGCTGAACAGCCAATTCCCAGGCCTACCTCCCTGTAGCTAGAAATCTGTCCTTCTCCTGGCTTACCCGTTTCTTCCATGGCTTACTTTCAACCTACAGCAATCTGACAGTCCATAGGGTGCTTACCAAAGCCTTAAGGAATAAGGTGCCTCCCTGCTCTGGCTCCTTTCACCTGGCAAAGGAATGGAAATGGCCAGAGGGACACATGGATACTGGATTTGGGTTTACAGATTGTGTCAAATGAAGAAGGCCAACTTGCACTATAGCCACATAAACTTGCCCACAAAGTCTTTCAGAGCCCATCAGGCTAGCCTGCTTAAGTGACGGCAGCACTGAGCCAACAGAAATGTATAGCAAGTCCCCTTGCCACCCTCAGCAAAGCAGCAGGGGGTGAAGGGAGGTCAACAGCTGTGTAGAACCGTACCTGCCACAACCCCCAGCTCTCTGGTGGTGACTGCTACTGCTGCAGCTACTGTGGCACTTCGGGCTCAACCTGCTGCAGCTGGGGAACAGGCATGCTGCACAGTGGCTGCAGCAGCTCTAAGCTGAAGGATCCCTGAGGACTGTCTCTGGTGCCTCACTTTCCCTCACCTAGATACCTTATCAGGCATGGAGCTACTCTCGCCAATGCAAAGACTTACTGGGAAAGGGAGTGATGGGGAGATGTCACCATTCAGGAACCCTCTACAAATGAATGCCCAGAGCTGGTGTCCCACTTGACACCCCCACACTTGCCCTCACCAGTTACAATACTGGTAGCCAATGACACACAAGGGAGTGACATGGCTAGCACTGTCTTCTGATGCCTGCAAGTCCCCACCCTGAATGACCACTACAGTTGCGTCACTGAGGGCAACACTCCTCAAGCACGCTGCCATCTCACCCCACCTACCATAGAGCAAACTAGAAAAGAAAAAGCAATGCAGAAATTCTTATACCCCTGCCTATTGCAGAATATCTCAGTTTAATCTGGAATCTGGCATTTCCATTGTTGCAAAGCTTCTTAATTTTGTTGTTATAGGCAAGATGAAAGGTCTTACTGGAAATCCTTCCAAATGCTCCAAGTGGGAGCCGGACAGATGTAAGACACAGGGAAGAGCTTTTAAAGTTGCTGTAATAATTTCAATATAAGCATTAGCAATAGGCTTAAAATACAGAAGGAAAAGCATGGGCTAGGTAAGTGGAAGACGGTAATACTGATAAGTAAATCATAATATTATCATAACCTACAAAGGGCTCCTGGATTTTCTAACCAAGATGAAAGTATTTTTAAAATGTTACAGTTTACACAGTTATAGGGAAATTAAAAATAAAATCACAAGCTGTAATTTAGAGGAGGGATTTCTGAGGATCAGATCTTCTGAAAATGAACGCCCACACCGAGACCTATAGAGCTTTGGCAGGAGTGGGAGACTGTGCAGGACCTGCATCTAAATGCTTGAAGTAGCCCTTTCCCTATGCAAAGGGAAGTTGCTACCATACTGGCTGCTCCCTCTTCTTGGGGAAGCTATGCAGAGGTTATCCTGCCATTTTTAGCTGGAAACTAATCCTTCCCTTTTTTGGCACAAAATATTTCTGCACCAATTTTTTTTAATTTGGAAAGATTGGGAACTAAGATTTCATCCCTCTTCAGCTTTATACATGACTAAAACTTCCTCGTACTAAAGAGCACAAGAAGCCAAGCACTATTAAGTAGTCTTCCCACATTTCCTTAATGGATGGAAATACACAAAGTTTTCGTGTACTTGAGATGAACCACTCTAACTTGGCAGAAGGAACGATAGAAATCGCCTGGTTCATTGATATCTTCCTGCTAATTTGGGGGCTTTGCTTTACTGAATCAGCATGCAAGTTTGATGTTTGATTATTCTTCCTCTGAACAGCTGGACTCAGCAGTCCTCTACTGGGCTTTACCATTGCTCTGAAGCTGGAGGAGGCATAACCACACTTAGGAACAGACTGATCCTGATGCCCCCTCCTGGAAAATACCCAATTCACATAAGCTTTTAAAGCAACTTAACTTTGAACAGCAAAGGGCCCTAACTAGTTTGATACCCCAAGCTCATTAAAAGTCAATGGACAGTAGATGCACTGCTCTCTAATGCTTCTTTGTAAAAAAACCCAGCCTAGAATTTGTAAAATTGTATAAACACCTTCATCTGATTTTACCCACCCACAGGCCACAACTGAGGAAATAGCTGCCCAAGCACTTTTCTCACTTTATTAAAGAGATGCAAATAGGTTTAGCAGTGAGATGAAAACGCAAGAGTACTGAATCACTCTCTTTTATGCAGATTTGCTATTCATATAGTAACCTTGCCTGAAAAGGTTTCCCTGACCCAGCAGATAAAGTAAGGGAGGAATGGTCGGTTCTTTTGACATTCAAGAAACAAGTTCTCCAATTAATGAGTAACCATTACAGATTTTTCCCTTGCTTATTAATTTTACTATTTTTCTCCAACTCTAGATCCATCTTGCTTCACAGTATGCAGAACTTCACTTTCCACTCCCACTTACAACATAAAAAATAGGAATGCATAGAAAAGTAGTTTGGACTCATCACATGCTGGTTGTTTATAAAGAAACACCAAACTTCGCTCCAAATTTTCTATTAGTAGGAGCAGCATTTGGCAGGGAAGTCCTTTTATTTACTAAGTTAGCAAGAGATATGTTAACCCCTAGATATGGGCACAGCAAAGAATTTGTTCTACTTATTTAGTTGCTTCCACTTGAACTTGATATGTACCTAATGGAAATAAATGCAGACACCTCCCTTTGAAGATAAGGTAGGGAATTGTTTTCCGACTCCCTCCGGTCTGTGACCTGTGCAGCCTCCCTAGTATTTAGCATGGCATTGGCTACCTCCTTTTCTCTTTTAAAGTAGAAGCTGCAGGGGAGCTTCTGACTTTCTCAGGAAGTTGAAGAATATTTGTGATTACTAGTCCTCTCTTCCAAGAGAAAGTTGGGTTTTCTTCCTGGAAAGCCAGATCTTTCATTGCTGTGCCTGACCTTCATGATTTGACCAACTAAGGGTCCCAGGGCATGGGATACTCTGCTTGAATCTTCCTTTTTTTTTTTTCTTTTCTAGGCTGCCACATGAAATGTCTCCTGACAAGGATCTTTTGCTCTTACTAGAAGGCAGTGTCATACTGCAAGGGATTACTTTTCCACTGAGGGCAGCTCTGCTTGGCTTATTTTTTCCTTGGGAGCCCTTGAATAGAAGGATCAAAAAGACTTCTACCCAAGACAGCTTTAACCTAAGCCTCTGCCAAATGACTAGATAGTAATTAGATGAGGCACCTGTCCCTAACCCATCCCCCAGAAAAAAAAAGTTTAGAGCACTTGCTTGAGTGGGGTAGAGCAGTTGACAAGACTGAGGCAAGGCATGCACTGTTACCTTGCAAAGGCCATCCTGAAGAGGAGGAGGAATGGGAACATAGATTAAAGGTCTGTTGCTCCAGTGCTCCATGGGGAAAACAGCAGGAATCAAAGTTACTTGCCCTCATTTTGAAAAGTGCCCTGGCAGTAGAAGGAGGCACCCCTATTCTCACCCCACAGTGATGCCCACAGCAGAGGAGAGGCTTTTAGAATCAGTCAAGTCTCAGGTGGTGTGGCAGGTGCAAGATGAGAGCAGAGCAGGGATATACACAAGCCACCTGCACTGCCATGTCCTCCCATCAGTTTGACATCTGTATCTTGTTTCTGTGCTGCCAATGCTGAGGAGAGAAGCTCTGCTCCCACACCCTGACACAATGCATGAGCCTAAAGATCAAAATCCTGAGAAATGTTGCATATCAGTACCAATGGTGGTTGTATTACTGAGATGGCAACCTATGGCAAGAAGGCCAAAGCTTCTACGCCAAGTGCAAAGGAGCACAAGAGTCACTGTTTAGAAAACTATAGGACAAATGAGCACAACAGATACCCAATTTCTCCACTGGCTTCTTAGCCAAGTTGCCCACTTCGCTGAGTTTGTGGTGGGAACAGAGAGGAAGGTTCTGCATGCTGTGAAGCAAGATTCACTTAACAATGGAGAAAAAGCAAATGCCCTAGCCCTTCAGACTGTTAGGTTCTTTTTCAAGAGCTCTGCAACCCCTACCCCTCTCTCCCAAAGGAAAAAAAGACTTGGGAGCTACATGGGTAGTTTACTGAGCTTTCTTCTATGCTCCACAGTTTAAAAAGAGGAGTGAAAATGGCCTGTTGCAGATACCAAGAGGTATATCGAACTGCTGTTTTCAAAACCCTGATTGGTGACCAACAAATCTGTTTTGCATCCCCCTGCCCTAATTCACAAGCCAGAAAGCTAGGCTAGCCTGCTTCCAGGATCCAAGATGAGTGAAACACCAAAGAAAGCAGGGTGCTACAAGTAAAAAGAGTGATTACAACTTATTTTGGTTTAGCATATTTTAATTTTTTAAAATAAAAGCACAGGACACTAGTTTTTTTCTTGAAAAGATGGGGTCAAAGTTGTGCAGCAAGATCTGCATAAACAGACCCTGTGTCCATGTGAAATCCTTCAGACTTGGGGAAGGGAACTGCAGGCATAAGAATCTACTCACACAGAGCAAACTGTGGCATTGGGGCCATCAATTTTAACCCGAGTCCCCTAAGAGTAATTTTTATACAGTTACGAAGAAACCTTGACAATTTTTTTGATAGCCCATTCATCAATAAAATGGGATAAGCAGAGCTGTATAGAAACTTTACCTCTTAGTTGTATTTTAAAATACAAGTTTAACTAGAAAGATGAATATGTAGCTTCAAACCAAAAGGCAAAAGTGCTCTGAAGAGTAAATGGCTATTAGAGATAATCTAAATTAAAAAAAAAAAAAAAAAGAGACAAAACAAAGTGAACAGACCATAACTTTATTGGAGATATACTCAGCTACAATTTTTACAAAAAACTATTAAAGGTAATTGTGATCCATAAGGTGCAGACTGCAAATTTCTGCAGCATGATTACAGTATGAATGAATTACATTTTATGTCCCTTAAAGACAGCTGCAGCATGTGATGGTAAATATTTTATTGTCCATCCATCAAATTATTTGTTATTCATTCTACTTGATTTTAACCATCTTTTATGTCAAAACTATTTACAATAAAAATGCCTGCAATTTCCAATTCTTGTTCACAAACATTTTTTTCTGCTATGCAATTTGCTGCTTTAGTAAATTCTGAATGCATCTACAAAGCAATTTAAATAGTCTGTGGTTGCTAGACAAATTAAAAAGGGAAGAAAACTATGCAATTCATTGGATAAAATGTACACACACTTTTAGATGCTGAGATAAGTTAAAATTAATTGCTCGTGGAGTACAGTGCAATGACCTCTATAAATATTTTTTTTACATAATTTTGATGGCGCTACAGTTGATATTTGGATTACATTTCATGGTCATAATTGTAGTGTTTCAGATGTTTAAGAACTCATTGTGTAAAATCATTTTAACCTCTTGAAAATTAAAAAGTGGTTGAACAATATGTCTCGATATCAAGTACCAAAGTCAAAATCCTTCTCATATTAATCATACAACAAATTCATGAACTCCCATGCAAATGCTTGTATGAAAAAAAGATTAACAGGATTTGGGCAAAACAGACAAATGTAAAATCACAACAAATTACAAAAGAATTTGATGTTTTCCAGTTTCCAAGCACCGTCGAGACTGGGATCCAAATTCTCTAGTATTTTCTATGTAAATAGGTGTGTACAATCGGTACAGTGTACACATGAGAACACATTCCCCAGTTGGAGGCTCTATTTCAGTGCTTCTGAAACTTTCTTGGCTTGCACACCCCTTTTTTGAGTCCTACTGCTGTGTGTCCTTATGATTCCAAGTTATGGATAATAAAAAAGTAACACTGTCACCAGAACCACACTCTAACCTCTCCAACCACCTCAGGGATATATCTGACACCTGTTCATTTTTTTCTCTCTCCCATTTACATTTCCCTTTTTCTTTCTTCTGCTTTTCATTTCTTCCTCTCACATACCCTCTAGAAGTTCACTGCATGTCCCAGTATAAGAAACACTGGTGTATTTATGTACAAGGACAGAAATCTAAGTTCTGGAATAGACTAGATCCTCAACTGAGGTAAGCCAATGTGGTTCCAGATTTCAATGGAGTGAGGCCAGTTTATACCTGCTGAGGATCTGGCCCCAAGTCTATGAGACCCTGAATTCAGCTCTGAGCTTGTACTCAGATTGGCTTGAACTCCTGTTAAATTCTGTACTCTGCAGTCAGTGTAACTTCATCTAATGAGACTGAAAAAAATAGTAGGCCTTTTTATATGAACTTTAGCAGCATCAAGCTGAACAAACACTTCAGAAGTCAGTACATGGCCCTTGATATCCAGAAAGAAGGGAGATTTAGTTAAAGCTGACCAAATTACTAGGGGCTGTCTTGTAGCAAAAAACTACACTGTGCATAACATGTTGGTTTGTTCAGAGATAATTACAGGAGTGTCAGAGGTCATTCTAATTTTAATTACTTCACATAACAGTAAAAATGATGTAATAAAAAACAATAGTGTTAAAATACAATCAAGAGTTTCATAGCACATCTTAGTTGTATTTTTCACATACAGTAAAAATGCCACAGACATTACAAATGACCTATTTAAGTTGTGCAAGTAAATGACACATTGCAGGCATTATAATTATCTTTTTCAAATTCAGTAAATCAAAACAGCAGCAAGGCCAAACCACATTTTTCCTCTCTGTTAAGCATATTTTTTCCTTGAAATGAGGTAAAGCATGGTACCAAGTGCAATGCTTATTTGTGCTACATGAACAGAACAGCGCAAAAAAAGCCATAAAAATAAAAATGCAGCATAGTTAGGAGGACTGTTTAAAGTACAGTATAATAGGACTAAGAAGAACAAAAACAGGTTCATGCCAACTAACCCCCACACTATTCATGAGGAGTCTGTGTGGTTGCTTTTGAAGATGGGTTGCAACAGTCCACTTACACTTGTGCTTATAGCACATCAAGCGATTTCTATCCCAAACTTCAAATTATCAGATTTAGGTCTTTAATATCATACACTGTCCCATATCACAATCATATCAACTGAAGGGTAAGACACAGTTCTACAGCATGGAAACTAAGATGACTTTTCTCTCTCAAAGGATATGAATTATTTCAATGAGGTCACACTGGAAGAGAAATTACGGCATTTAAAAATGCATCAGCAGCAGAAACTACTTTACAGTCAGCCACTGCACATTTCAAATGTCCAATTCATAGGCTTTATCTAATAACAAAGGGATCACTGAACACATCTGAAATACAGAGAAGAATAACCAAATTCAGTTACTTTTTTTTTTTTTTTACATCAAAACACCTGGTAGCAAGTGGATTTTCCTATCAATTTACTGCTAACTGATATACCTCAAAACCCTGAGATCTCATGACCTCCCAAGTTCCAAGTAACAAACTTGTTTTCTTAAAGGAGTCACAAAAGATTTTTTATAGTGACAACTTTAATGTAATTAACTTTTTTTTTTTTGTAAGAAAAGCTTTACAGATGATGCATCTTCAAAAAAAAGATTCCTAGACCAAGTACCAAAATTATTAACATGCTGCAGAATCTTGACTTCTGGAACAAAAAATAGTTATAAGTTACCAGTAGATTTTAACTGGGGATTTGTTTATAGCAATTTATTACGTAGAATTTTATTGCATAAAACAAGATTAGCTTCAAAATTTGCAAGATTTAAACTTGATATGATGCTCTCTTTTCTCAATCACTAAAAGAAATGTTTTCTTGCAAATATTAAAATTATTATACAATCCATATGAGGAAATTAATTCTACTTCCAGATTCCCATAAGAACTATTAGAATTCCAAATGAATAAAAGAAAACCTGGATAGAAAAAAACGAATTAAAAAATTTCTGTATTTCAGAGAAGCTTAATGACCATCCTTTGCCACACAGAATTTTTTTTTTTTTTTAAGAAAGCTAGAGCTGACAGGTTATTTATTTATTTAGCGTGCATTTGTGAGGGGAGAGTGGGGCTTTAAAAGCAGGAAATACAGTATTTATTTGTAATTTAACACATAAAACAGCATCAAGTTCAGACCAATGTGCTGGAAAACATTAACACACCTTGCTCCGCTTTCTCAAAACTTCAAGCATAATTAACAGGGCAAAATTGCAGCAAACCTCTACTGATATTGGTGGGAGTGCAAGACTACCCACAGCTTTTTTAAAAGGTAAATTAAGAGGTATTATAGTTACAGTGCAAAAAATTAAAATTTCAAGCATAATATATAAACATAGCACCAAAACAGAAAAACAATGCATGCAAAAAAAGAAAGAAAAAGAAAGAGAGAGAGAGAGAGAAAGAAAGAAAGAAAAAGAACTGAGGTATTTAAGTGAAGAGTGCCTACAAAAATCTAGTTAAAGAAATATAGGCAAAAGCCTAAAAAGTATGTTCCCCTCCCCCCTCCCCAAAACAGACTGAAACAATGAGCTAGTTCTCTAAATTAAGGACCTAAATCACAGATGTATCAAAAGTACGGCAGTTTATCTCAAACATCAACTTTCATGGCATTTAACAGCACAGCTTTGGTAGGTGAAATATGCATGCAACTCTGAAAAGTACAGTAAGAAATTCATGTGGAAATCTCTCTAAGTGTAAAGGTGCTCCATTTTTTTAAATAAGTAACCAATTGATTATAAAATCTGCAGCATATTTTAGGTGTGATATGTCTAAGGTTATTTTGTTACAGCAAGTCTGAACTGTGCAATTTACTCACTACTATGTTTCCAGTATCAGAACTATCTAACTTGCAGGTTTGTGTAAAATTGGAATTTTAGCCAAAGACCATATTTTGTTTATGGTATTAAAAAAAAATCTGTAGACTAACCACCTCCTCTGTATTGTTAAAAATAACCTAATTACATATATATGAATACAATTTCTATTATAATCCTGTAATAAGTTAAAGTCACAGCTATACTAATGAGTTGTATTGTAAATATAGAGCTGTATCATTGTAAAATGCATAATAAAATGAAGGGAATGTAAAATAGCTTGTTCCAAAAAGGTCAGAAATTAATTACTTATGAGGGTTTATTTAAGGCAAGAACCTTTTTTATGCAAGACAATGTGGCATCAGGACACTGAAATTTCATTTTACCAGTATGCCACCCATTTGAATTAAAAACCTGTCCCTAACAAATAAGTGCAATAATGATTGGGAATGTCATCTTAATGCAAAGATGACAAGGAAAAAAGAGGACAATACTGGCACACTTATTCTCTCTTATACCAAATCATCCAATACAGTTTACAAACTGCTTTATGACTGGCACTAGTGCACAGATTGAGGAATTTCAAGATTACTATATATAAATCTAGGAACTGCATTAGGCATAAGCTCCCTGGCCTTCTAATACTAAGCAAAGCTGTACTGACAATAAAAGTCAACCAAAAAGACCTGACAACAATTATTCTGAACACTTGCTAAATGTCATCATTAAAGCACTCTTGTGATTAAACAAAGCGGAAGTGAGGAAAGAAGACAAGATTGTGTTTGCGCAAAAAACTAACTACAATTAGTTCCAAAATTTTATACATGTTAAATGTTTTGCTATCTATTCAGTTATCAAACAAACTTTAAATTCTGTCTTCAATTTGTTCCTCTCAACATCAACTTTTTAAAATTTTTAAAAATTTTATTTGTGTGTGTGTTTTTTTTAATTTTCAATTTCATTTGTTTATTTTTAAGAGGAGTCTCAGCTGTTTAGGACCTGAGGTTGATTTGCTTTGAGGCTTCGTAGTGCTCTTCTTGCAGCTGCAGATTTGGCAATCCTGTAGCTTCTGCCAACACCTTTAAACTTTCCTTTCCCCACAACTTCCACAGTTACTCTGACCTTTCCATCATAAGTTCTTTCTGCAGGACTGCAAAAAAGCAAACACAAATTACAGCCAGAGTGCGCTAGGGTGAAGCAAGACTCTAATATTCTTCGCATGGCAGTGAAACATTTAAATATGTATGTTTTCATCTTTCTCTTTTAATTGGAAAGTTTTGTAAGGAAAATGTAATAGGGAAGTAGTCAGTACAAGAAACATCTCTTGCACCTTAGAGAACAAATGAATCTTCTTCAGAGCCTCTTAAAATCCTCAGTAGTTTAGGAGGCATGGTTTTAAAATATTTTAGAGCAAAGCAGATCCAAACAAGTTTACTCTTACCTGAATTTGGCAGTCTCTGGTTCCATCTCCAGCAGCTCTCGTACTGGGGAACGGGGCACATTTGCAGAAAATTTTTCTACAAGGAAGAAAGGAAAAGGAAAGAAAAACAAATCTAACATAAACTTGATTTTTTCCTTCTGACTGTACTAGACAATCAATTACTATAAAGGTTTTTCATCTCTATAAAAACCTATTACCTATTAATGGCCTCATCATAGGATAGTACACTTGCCAAACCATTTCCAAAGACATTCCGCTATCCATATAAATGGCACCAGCAAGCGACTCGAATATGTCTCCCATGGCCTTTGGTACTTCAATGTCTTCTTCTTTTTCCTCATCCTCTTCAGATCTTCTGAGCTGTTTGCAATTATTGAAGAAAGTGAAAAGAGGGGCTGTTGTACTAAACAGTTTTTTTTAAATCAAGCTTCAGAAAGTTCTCTCTTCCACCCTGTCCTGCACTGCCTCCTTTGAGCCTTTCATTGACAGTTTTCCACAGCTAAATCATTTCTGTATTCCCCCATGAAATTGAGTTGCTGAATCTAGCGTTTTTCAAACTTGGAAAAAAAAAAGAAAAGCAAAGAAAAGAAACACCATATACAGAGACCATACATGCTTTTGAATCCCACTTGCAATAATTCTGTAGGATTTCACCATGAGTCTGCTTTTTCCAATGTGAAACTGACTTGTCTCAGTCAGTTATGCCAGCAAGCCTGCATAGCCAAGAAAGTTCATATTTTAAACATCTTCTAGGTGGAGGCTTTCAAAGCTGTAAGTCTAATTTCTGGATGAATACACCATGCTCAGTGGGATGCAACTGATGTACACAATTTTCATAGGTTATTTGCCTCAGAAGGCAGGTGTAGTATGTGTTAGTGAAATAAATCATTAACAAGAACAACCTAGTAGTGTCAGACTGAGTTAATACTGTATGTATGCTTAGTGATTTGATGCCGGTGGGGGGGGGGGTGTTTAATGCATGTGGCAGTGTTTTCTTCTGTGCTATCCTATTCGTTCCAGAGTGCTATTTTTCCTTTATTGTAGAAAGGTTTGTACATGCACAAAAGCTGCATGCCTTGATTCCAGTACATTCACTTACTGTAATATTCATTTCACTTGCATGTAAAAATCATTTTACTTAAGTTCAAACAAAGAAATTTGAAGCAAATAAAACTATGATTTGACCACTGCTCCCCTACATAAATATAAGTGAATATCTGCCTATCTTTTTCTCCCCCCAGTGGCCAGCCTCTCAGTTTGGCTGCAGTTCATGAGTTTAAAAATGCTATGGCAAGTCCTCAGCCCTCTTAAGTAGGTAGTATAATATCATGTACTAGTCCCACCCAACATTTATTCCTAAAATAAATGAAATGGTGTGTACACCCTTCAAACAGCAATAATTATTAGGAAACATATGCAACTCTATTTTGTAGCCTTATTTTATAGCAAGTGTATTACTAAACATGTTAGGGAATTATGCAGTAATTATGCAGTACATGTTTAGTATAACATGTTAGGGAATAACAAAAGAAAGAGGAAAATTAAGAGGTACAGGACAAGAGACTAAAGGTTTTATGAATGATATCTGGAAAAATAAGAGCTGATAATGTGGAAAGCATATAAAGGTTGATCTAGTTGGCAGGAACTTCAGAAGCAAAAGCTCTTGCATTAATTGTGATGAAATAGCAGAAGATTCAGTAAGCAAGTGCCAGGCTTAGGAACTGGGCAGAGGAGGATAGAGAGTAACAGCAATCCAGGAAAATGAGACTGGGGTAAGTAACCCCCTGGCACGTGAGCCAGAGCATGACATGTGAAGACATTCTGCTTGGCACTTGTGCCTCAGGGAAGGGGCTAGGGCTGCACTGCCACAACAAAGATCGAGCCCCCCACTGTCTGCCCTGGCACATGAGCATCTTACAAGTTGAGGTTGCAGGTGTTCTTGGCCCTCTGCCCAAAACCACTGCTGACCCCTGTGATATATTATAATTTGCTGATATCTCAGCTGTGATTTCTGAGGTGCTCTTCTCTACCAAACTGAGGGAATGGGAACACTATCATCATGCAAGATCACTTCTGTAAATCTTTAGTATTTCTTTACCCTGGGACTGCTCAGTGTCAGTAAGGGGGAAGAATCTTTTCCTATTCAAAATAAGGACAGAATCGGATCTGTTGCAACCAGATCATTTTCCCTTATTCAGGCTTCACAGGATTAATAAACGTCCACTCTTGTTAAAAATATCATATCAATTCTTTTTTGAACTTGGAACAGAAATTGAAAGGTTTTGCTTTGTGGTCAAGTGCCAGGTCTATGAAGACATGCTTATATATTCAAATATTTTGATCTCTAGACCTTACATTTGAGTAATCAAATGAGCAAACAATTCAAGACAAAAGATGGCAGGATCTTATTCACTGATTTAATCAACATTAGTTTTAGAATATTCTTAGAAAAGTGATTCTCTCAAAGTAAGTTATACTTCTTTTCTAGAAAATTGTTTAGGTTCTCAAATCAGAGACTGAAAAGTTAAACCAGAACATTAAGAAAAGCTGGATGGCTTAGGGGCTTGAAACAGAATGAGGTTTTTCAGTTCTAGGGCACTGGTTTGAATCAGAATTGTGCAGTAGCTTATCTGAAAGCAGCTAGATTTAGTCCATTTCCCAATAACACATATCCTTTATTACATATGGTACTTAGTTGCCCTGGCCAGTGTAGACACACCCTGTGTGCACAAGTCTCCAACAGAACTGCTTTTAAAATAGTATGCTCGCAAATTGCTAACAAGGCTTCCCTGGCCAGTAGAAACAGAGCATATAAACTGATAATAAAGGAGACTCTTGGAGCTGCATGGAAAAAAATGTTGCACTAGCATGAAGCATGCAGTTGGTATTATACCAACTTCACTGAAACACCAGAGAAGAATCCAGGAATAATAGCTAGTATTGATCCTATTACAGTTATTTTCTGAGCCCCTTCATATAGTAAAACATTTTAATAAAAGCATGTAGCATATAAAAGTACTGGATTACTGGCAACCACCTGCTGCTTTGGCTGGTGTGTATTATTATGCTAAGAAATTTGATGACATCCTAAAATCAGACACCAAACACAAACACTTTCAAATACCACTAACCTCAGAATCCATTCCTTGCATTTCATTCTTTTCCATCTGAAACTGGACAAAGTCATCAATAACATGAAACAGCTCAGGAGAGACAGCTTTGAAGTACTTGTGGTAGTCATACTTTACAGCTAATGATGCAAAAATGGTATTGTTGACGAGAGCAGATCGCAAGTCAGTGAGAACTCCTGGAGAGTGTTGTCGTGGGTCTTCATAAAGGTGCTTGGTTATGAGGTAGTCCAAAATTGCATCTCCCAGGAATTCCAAACGCTGGTAACAATCTTAAAATATTAGAAATAAAAGAACATACAGCATCACCACTGAACTTCTTTAAACTACCACGTTCTTTCCAGGCCCCTGGTTAGACAGCTCAGTCCTTTACACCACAAGTTAACCAAATGCTCAAAAACGATAATATACACATTTAAAACATGGGTATCTTTTTATTGGGGTTATGTTTTGTGTTATTTTAAAAGATCACTCAGTGAATTCAAAAAATAAGAAATGTCACCAAATATATTTTGTAATGAAGCCACTTCTGAATCAAGCACCCATTTATAGCTTTGTGGCAAAAAAAAAAAAAAAAAAAAAAAAAAAAAAAAAAA